AACAAGAACATTTGTGATTGATTGAGGGAGAACCATCTTAGCTAGTCATCTGTCTACCTGCCATTTACACCAATATACAATTTTATTTGACAGGCATAATTTCAACAAACATGTCCACTTTTAATAGAAAATTTCTCATAATTAACAATAATCACCAAACAGACAAGCACTTTTCATTTTCTGGCTATGTAACTCTGTTAAGCATGGTACCTAATTTTGAAATATAATTTCCACATTAGTAATGTTTGTGACCATGAAGCATTCTACCTTATTAGGAAATACAATTCCCATATTAGGAGTATAAGAGTTGTGCAACTAAGATGCATACTACCTTATTTGGAGGTAAAATTTCCATACATAGAATGTGAGCTGTGTGCCACTACAAGGACTCACCAGAATCAGGTAGCATCTTCAGCATAATACAGTCACCTCCATAGATCTCAGATACAACAACTTTACTCTCTTTCACAGTTTCCAGAACATTCAAAGTTTCTTGCAGAAACACAAACGGCTTCCCTTTCAGTTTGCTGGGCAATGCTTTGACAAGTTCATTTCTCAATCTGTCCATACTGCCAGACAAACTGACCACCACATTGCCAAGTCCACTGAAGGTGTGATCATCATTCATTGCAATAACATTCATGCTTTCATTCACATCTAGTTCTGGAAAATGAAAAAAATATATAAATACACAAAGGTAACAACATTTACTAGGATGGATCAACTAAATAAATTTTTGCAAGTCAGTGACATTTTGTAGCAAAGGAAATCTCTTTGAGGTCCCACAACAATGACGTTTGCAAAATTGTGTCTTCATGAATGCAATAAAATTCCCAAACTGAAGAAAACAGTTTATGATGCTGGAATGATCAATGCTTTAATACTGTCACCACCATAATGTTCAGAAACCAAAACTGAGTTGACGCCATTTACTATTTTGAGTTAAAAAAAAGTTCGTAAAATTTTTGGTTCTTGATTCATTAGTTCTATTTGCCAACAATTGTTTTACATTGATGTCTACTGATGAAGTACTGTGACCAGGATAATAAATGACCATTCAAAAGACACAAATATCACATGGTATTGAAACAATTCCCAAAAGTACAACTTGTGGAAAATATTCTTGATATTTTAATACTTTACAGATTTACCCATTAGATTTCAGTTAAAAGGGGAACAAGACAGGGTAACGAGAGTTGTTTCCATGGAAATGAACTTTTAGTTTGTCCCCCATGATGTTTAATACTCTGAATTATGAAGCCAAACTCCCTTTGTGCCAAACTGAGTGAAACTTAAAAGTAGGAGACCAAGCTTGATAGCAAGCAACACTCCGCCTCCACCACCAAATTGTGCTGAGATAGTGAAATCAAGCGTTGTCAACATGACCAATATCATAAAGTTCTAAATCTACTTTATATTTACTACCATCCCAAATGCTGTAATATAATTATTATATTTCACTATGAGCCAGACACCTCTCAAAACACCACATGGTAGCAGCTCCTATATAATAGTTTGTGATCTGAGTGCATGTTAGAACCAAATCAGTATGTACCAACAGACACATCTCTATGCATTGAAACTCACCAGTTTCTTGATTACCAGAGGGTGTGGCGGAACCAGGTGGTAGAGACTCAACTATAATAGTTGGAGATCTGATTGGTGTGTTGAAACCAGATCGCGCAGACATGGCACTGACTGGTCTGCTTGATACGTTCATGCTCTCAAAATCCTCTTTGGTAAATCTGTAAAAAAACATGATCACAATACCGGTAAAATAATTAATAGATAAAAAGCAGTTTTAGTGTTTTGGGGTAAAGGAAATATCATCACCAAATGAACAAATCTGAGAGAGGTCTACCCAAGGTACATATACACAAAGTATCAAAGCAATCAGACTTGTAGTTTTCAAGAAGAAGTCGAAAAAGTACAAGCCATGCATGGCACAGTCCCCGTTAATTATTGAATTAAGATATATAGTGTTGTTTATAGTAATATAGCTGGAATATAACCATGTCAGGAATATGATTATGATGATTGTTTAACATTAAAATGACTGACATTTGTATCTGATCGTCAAACAAGTACTTGTCCACATTGAGAGATATTGTTCTGGAACAGCATTAATTAAAACAAAATCAGTCATTTTGAATACATGTACCGGTATATATCTATAACATGATGTATAATGAATATATAAAATTTGAACATAATCAGTCAAAGTATGTCAGAGATGGCTCTAGAAGCCCATTCATTAAAACAAAATGACCGCCAGTCAGCCATTTTGAATCCGATCTGAAAAATAAAATGACGTGCACTAGGAACTCGTAATGACTAATGTATGTACCAAGTTTGAACAAAATCCATCCATAAATGCTTGATATTTGGCCACTTTGAATAGGATCGTCAAACTAATATATCTGTATATCTATGGCACGGTGTATACTGAATTTTTAAAATTTGAACATAATCAGTCAAAGCAAGTCAGAGATATGGCACTAGAACCACATTCATTAAAACAAAATGGCCGCCAATCGGCCATTGTGAATCTCATCTAAAAAACAAAATGATGTGCATCAAGCTCCTATATTGTCCAATGTATATACCAAGTTTGGACAAAACCCATCTGTAAACAGCAGAGAAATGCTTAATTTTGATGATTTTTCAATACAAAAATGGCTGCCATTCAGCCATCTTGAATCAGATCATAAAACAAATGGATGTGTATATGTATAATGTCATGTATAATGTATGTGTGAAGTCTGATTGTGATTGGTCCAAGCATTTTTAAGATACAGGTCCGGATGCACGCACGGAGGTCAAAACACGAGTCCCCGTTTCCAGACTGTGTCCGAACAGGAAATAAAAAAATTGATGAAGAAGACAATCACTAATATGATAAGCTCAAAGTTGAAAGGGGAGCTAGAAATGAACAGAAATCAAAAAGTTTATCACAAAGTAACTGTTTGTTTAAGTAGTGACAGTGATAATTAAGATTGAGTTGTCTACTTACTCAAATGTTTCAGGAGTACTTGCTATACCAGACTCACTACTACAATCACTGGTATTATCCCCCAGTAATCTTTCGGAAATTGTTCTCTTATCTGGGAATTTATCTGTTATTGGGATTGATTCAGCCTGCACCACATCTTTGCCTGCTCACACAAGATAAACGAACAAAAGTCAAGAGAAACATAATATTGCACAAGCTCCTCTATTAATGCTACATCTCTAGCTCTATGCTATCACTCCACTCCCATGTCCCTATATTCAGAGCAACGTCAATAGTGTGCAAGAGAAACATAATATTGCACAAGCTTTTCTATTAATATTCATGCATACTTTGAGGTATTCTCGTAATAACCTCATATTATACAGCAAAACTTTTGTTCAATATTTCAATCTTTTAAGAAATTGAATATTAAGTACTTTTAAATGATACAAATCAAAATAATCAAGACTTCTTTCACATGAGCAGCAGAATGAACAAGAGAAGTTAGTCATTCATGCAGATCAACCACTTCAATAAACTAATTTTCAAAGAAAATATACATCTCAACAACTATAAAAGCCAGCATGCCAAATGATAACACAAATACATGCTTAGAGATCAATGGCATGATCTATTCACAAGATTAGGAATTATCAATGTGATTTGTAGAATGTCTCAATAAATTTTATCTATATGCAGTAAAAAATTAGCTGCCAATAATTGTAGAAAATATATCTTCATTCAAAATGATAACTACAATGAAGGACAGAACAGCATGCATTGTACAATTAGCCTGCAGACGAATATAATCAAAACTGTAGTACTGGGAAGAATGTAGTTTCAAGTATACTGCTGAGTGAAGAGTCAGCAATTGAAGATCAAAACTTTAGCTTATAGCAGTCCGAACAAAATGCAGTTATCCTGCTTAGTGAAGAGTCAGCGATGGGAATCAAAACTAGTCTATGTGAGTCTTGGAATAATGTAGTAGTGGTGTGAGAACAGTTAACAATGTGGATCAAAACTGTAATCTATGCAACTGCCACACAAGTGTTTTTTTCTTGTGGACAAGAAAGAAACAACAATTATACCAGCAGTTACAAGTGTATAAACATACCCGAGTGTTGTTTCTTGTAGATAAGATAGATACAAACACCAATAGTAAAAACAGCTATAAAACCAAACAAGCTGGATAAAACAATGACCAATGCATATGATTCTGATAAAGTCTAGAAAGGAAGAAAAAGTTTCATTTAGTATATCAGAACCTACAGCATGTGCTAACATTAATAATTATATTTGTCAAATTTCCACTAATTTATGTAAGGATATTGATTAATGATGCAGTCTTTTCTTTGCATGGCAAAAATGAGTATACAAATCTTGAAACAATACAATAAACATTGTGCATGAAAAATATTTAAAATTTATTAATGTTCCTTTACAGCAACAAGCAAAATAATAGCCTACAATTCTTCAAATAATACATGTACTGTGTTATCTCAATGACCCTTACAGAGTAATATAACTTTAATTGTATATATCTTCCTATCTGGAATATTCTAAATTAAGCTATGCACTTTACCGGTACCTTTAGACTAGTGCCATAGTAATCCTCCCCATTGACCTGCATGGTTTCCATTGCAACTAATTCAGTCCCATTGAACGTTAATATCAGCCCATTTTTCACATCTTCCCACATTACAATAAGAGTATTATCCAAGTCATCTGGAGAGCCTGTTGCATCAAATGTAACCACTATACTCCCTGTAGGATATAATCAAAAAAAGCTTAGAAAGAACTTCCATGTACTGAAGGGTATTGGAGGCATGAAGTACTGCGTATTCACAATTAGCACATGTGCTTCTAATAGCAAGCAATGATTAGGGTGGTTCCAAGTAGCTATAGTTTAACAATTATAAATATTTAATGAAATAATGACCATATATGATGATTTGGTATTTTGGTCATATAACTTGTCAGACAACAAAATTATATCACCAGCTGCATGTCCCTATCTGCAACAGTACTTTAAATAAAATAAATGTACCATAAAAAAGTATGGGAGAATGATTGGGCAATTGTGTATACTTTTTTTCCTATGGACACCAGCATACACACGCAGCTAAGACATTATTTACAAAACATGACTCACTGTGTGGTAAATGTAGCTGCTGCAATGAGTGTTTACAAACACTAAGCAGGTAGTCTCAGCCCCTGTTTGTTTCACAGAGTAGTCATTTGCATATCAATATGTCTGACACAAGGTCTCGCTACCATTTTGGAAATGAGCGGATTTGTCATTTTCCATCTGCCAATTTTACCAAATTATAGCTAGCCCATTCCTTTAATTTGTTTCAAATAGCTTTGTACCTTTTGATTCCCTTACAAAGGTTATAACAGAATGTCATGCGAGAACAACCTGATTATTGCCGTAACTTCAACGTTTTCTAGGTATTTAAGTTTTTCAAAATTCAAGGTCTTCAACAGAAAGTAATGTATACTAAGTCTCGTTGGATTAACATCAAATTTGAACAGCTTTAAGATGACATTGAGAGAAACTAGAATGTATACAGACAAACTATTTCATAGATTATTTTTCAATGTATGATAGTTTAGATGTGAGAAATGTGACTAAGACTGAATCTTGGAATTCAGCACACTACTTTTTAAAACACAGTGCATGGACTGCTGAGTTTAGCAGACAACTGAACTACTAATACTATAATAATAGTTAAAGCACGGTGGTTGTCGCGCAGCGCGTGTTCGAATTTCATGTAAATAAACAATGTATTTTACACGCGTTGTATACGTCGCTATGAGTCTCATATCGAACAGGACGCGGCACGACGACTGCCGCCCTTTAACATGAGAACAGCTTCTTAGTGCAAGCATTTGGGTAATTTATTTGTTTTCAAAAAAGCAATATTTTATATTTGAGCATGTTGTGCATCACAGAATATAGATACATGCATAAAATCAACAAGCCATGCATGGCACAGTCCCCGTTAGTTATCAAATTTCAGATATATAGCTTTGTTTATAATAATATAGCTGGAATATAACCATGTCAGGAATATGATTTTTTAACATTAAAATGATTGACATTTGTATCTGATCGTCGATCAAACAAGTACTTGTCCATATTGAGAGATATTGCTCTGGAACAGCATTAATTAAAACAAAATAGCCACCAGTCAGCCATTTTGAATACATCTATATATTTATAACATGATGTAAAATGAATATATAAAATTTGATCATAATCAGTCAAAGCATGGCAGAGATATGGCACTAGAACTGCATTCATTAAAACAAAATGAGGCATTTTGAATGGGATCTGAAAAATAAAATGATTTGCATCAAGGTCTTATAATGTCCAACGTATGTACCAAGTTTAAACAAAATCCATACTAATTGCTTGATTATGATGATTTTTTAGCACAAAAATGGCTACCGGTACCATTCGGCCATCTTGAATCTGATCGTGAAACAAATTGACCACGTTCGAACGGGGTCTAACAAGTTTAGAAAAAACTCCTGTGTGCTGAGAGTATTGGAGACATATTAAAAAACAAGAAGCTTGGCACCTAATATTTGTCTGTTATTTGTTACTTAAAAAAACAAACAATGTGATCTACATAATTGAAGTTTAGAATACTTGGAGAAAATACATTTTGTCTGTTATTTGAGATGCACAACTTAAAAAAACAAACAATGTGATCTACATAATTGAAGTTTAGAATACTTGGAGAAAATACATTTTACATCTGCGGTTTTCAGACCAATTTATTCCAAAGCACTTCAATTTAAATCTTATTTGTTGACAAATTAGAAATAATAATAATTAGATAATCAATTTGTATTGATTTTCATTATTAGACTAATCATGTCTGTGGATTACCTCAGAACATCTATGAACCAAATTTCAATAAAATGTGAAATTATACTCATTGAGCAAATTGAGCGATTAGTATGCTCGAATTTCATTTCAAAACTGCATTTCCCAGGCATTTATATACCAAGTCTCATTGAAATGCAATAATTGGTTTTAAAAAAATTGGGTAATTATTATGCAAAATAAGCAATTATTATGTACAGATTTCAACCCCAAACTAATTAGGCCTGTGTATTGTTCCAGAGCACAATTGAACAAAGTTTTATTATAATGTGATGAGTAGTTCTTAAAAAATTAAAAAGCTGAAAAATAAATTATTATGCAAGTTAGGTAATTATTATGAATATATACGAACCAAAAACTAATTAGATCGTTGCATTGAATCAGAGAATTTATGTACCAAGATTCATTGAAATAAGATGATAAGTACTTTAGATTGAAATAGCATGATCTAAGTACTTGAGATATCAGTGGAAATACTAAAAATGTATTATTATGCAAATTATGTAATTAATATGCATGAATATTAACCAAAGCTTATCAGGTCTGTGCAACATCCTATGACATCTATGTATCAAGTTTCATTGTAATGTGATGATTAGTACTTTAGTGGATATCAGTGGAAAAGCTGAAAATTGACTAATCACTATGCAAATTAGGTCATTAATAGTCACATTTGTATATCTTGCATTCATATCAAGCATACATACCTTCAGAAAGCTGGACATTGCTCACTATCACATTTGTATATCTTGCATTCATATGGTTGATAAACATTATAGCAAAGTAAGTTTCTAAACCGGAAACTACACTTTTGTAATTCTCATCAAATGTCAACGTCACACTCTTTGTGGTGCCAGATAGAATAGGTGCACCAGGATCAATCACATCAAAGCTTGACAATACAACAGTTAGTTCATAGTCAGCTGGACTGGATGTCACTGTCACTTCAAGAATATAGTCCTTGCCATATGTATCAATGTATAAATCAGAGTATGCAGCCTGTGAGGTGTCTGCTTGGACAGGGACAGACAGATCTCCTTTAAGATTGCCCAGATACAATGAAGGCATGAACAACTTGATGTGTGATGTCCATGTGTGACCCTAAAATGAACATAAAACAAAGTGATGTCATAATTCACTCACTCACATTTCCACCATTTTTTTAAAAACATGGATTTATGTAATGAGTACAGAATTTTTGTGTAGGTTTTAAGTGTATTTTAATAGTAAATTTGGACTCTACTACTACTCTATCAAAAACCAGCACTCATTTATGTAAAACTCAATATTTCACATATGAACTCACTATTACATGTTATATTTCTGTGAAATATCACTAGGTATACTAGGCTGGACGATGGTTTACATATATGCTTAAACAAGAATGGACTCATCATGAAACCAATATTCTGTATTAATCATAAATATTTTATATTCCAGTTAAGCACGTACCTTCCATGAAATATCTTCTGCAGTTTCACCTAGGATGACATCAACAATTTCAATGATAGGCTGTGGTGTGAATAACTCGCCTTCATAAGCAGAATCAGAACAGCTACAACACCCAGAGAGTATGGACGATTGGATACAGTGAA